GCCCCCGTTCGATTTCGCCAAAATTACCGTTGCCTTAACGGGTAATTATTTCCGCAGAAAGTCATTCGCACGATGGTATATAAAGTTTAAACCTCTTCTGGAATGTTCCTCAAAGGGCAAAATGGTTTTCGCATCGCAGGACTAATTGATGGAGATCTGAGGACTGGTCTGGGAAAAAAAGCGGCCGGTAAGTGGCCCGGTGGAGTGCCAATAAAATTTACGGCTTGGCAGTAAACCAGAATAATAAAATTTATATGTAGCGCTAAAAACTCTGGTACTAACCCAACAAACAATGTACCGTAAAGCTCCCGTCCTGTTTGTAAATTACGTGATATGCTGACAAAAATGATCATTAAATAAAACTATTTTTCTATTCTTAAAAATTAAAATGTTTCCCGTAAAAAAATAAATTGTGAGCAAACGACCTTTCGATCTTATTGTTAGTAAGAACGAACCAGCACGGTCGATATTCACTCATTCTTCTTTTTATTGGTTCGCACAATTAAACCCACAAGCTTTCCAATTTAGTTATTGACCCATTTCCGAGCAATTCCTAGAGGCACGTGGCGTAGATCGACCGAAAGCGACGACACTAGTGTGAAAATATCTGCACTAGCTACAGCTTTTTGTTCGAAAGGCAACGCGCAAATGCCGATTTAATTAAAGCTAATGTGCTTGAAGTCATGCTGTTCCGCGCACCGATGCTTGTGGACGTCGACGTATAAACGGTTCCCGACGTACTTTTTTTTACAGAGGCTTATCTATACTTTTTTTTATTTCAATATGGCCTTTCATTTCGACGGCGTAAACAGTAACTGACATTCAATGATTAGTTTAGAAAATCCTATCGAACGAGCATGAATTCACCATAAAGAACGTTATGTAATTAAATTGGTAGAAAATAGTAATAAAAATAGTGATATATTTTGGTGGAGGCGCCGGAATTAAAAGAGATTTGTTAATATCTTCAATAATATTATAAAAGCTAAGATTTGAAGGACATCAAAGAAAATTTCAATATTCTTGTTATAAGTTCAAGAGCTCTTCAACTCATATCCAACCATCAATTTCCCAGACAAGGCCTCATTAAAACCGCAACTCAGCGGGATCGCGTTGTCTGCCCCAATTGCAAAACAACGCCAACTTTAATTATAATATAATTGCTTCCCTAGACGTTGAGCAGAACCTAGAGGCGAGCTTCGAACGGGTACACCGTTGGTAATGTGGAGACGTGGCCCGCCAAGAGGGTATGAAATTGCCGAGAATGCTCGGCAAGTTGTGAGCAATAACAAGCGGAGAAAACAAGGTCGTGTTTGCGTAAGCTTTCCCCCTTCAACCTGCCCATGGATCCCGTTGGCAGGTTTGAGTGTTGCTGCGTTAATGATTTTCTAACAGTGCGCCGAGGGCATGGTTCCGGGGGCATATTTATCCTCAACCCCGTGGCTATGAATATTAGATATGCCGGAGGGTGAATGTTCTTTGACCGGTCAGCAACAGGGTTGTATTTAACCCAACGATATTTTCGAAGAATTTCCTTAAATTCCTTTTTAAAACCCCCAAGTACGAACCTGGGCATTACATTTGAAAAGCTAGCGCCATTGCACTCATTTTCCTATGAAAATTGTACGAACGGGTTATAAGAGAAGCATTCGTAACCGACGTAAATTTTAAATGGGGAACCCGTCGTTCCAAGGAACGGACCGGTTTTCGAGCTTTCCAATTTGCTGCGACCGTTAATATTAATGCGTAGCCTTTTACGAATACGATTTCCAGGAAGTGAACAGATTTCGGTGGCACCCATTATTGGCTTTAGACCGAGCTTTCCGGCCTATTGCAGTCACGTTTAATTTACTTTGATGGAGGGACTGAGTGAATCCATTACTATATTACCTACACGTATATATACCTAGTTAAACTATTGAAAACACTAGCTCCTAGTGGGTATTATCAGCATTAGCAGATCAATTAGAAAAAACTTTTAAATTATTTCGATTTTGTTACGTTTGTATTAAATAACAATTTTTTAAAAACAACATAGTATAATTATGGTATGATTATAATACTTGAATACGTTAAATTGAGAATAATGTAATTATTTACAAACATATAATGATTTGTTGAAGACAATTACTGAAAATATGGTGTTGGCAGGATAACTATGTAAATTTCAGTGCTATTTCAGCACCATATATCGTAGGTAAACGATCCAAGAACCGTGCGGATAATACCACCATGATTACTATTATAACCTACATAACCGTTTCGCCTGTTCTTCACGACATTAAAACGATTTAATTAAAGATTACTTAAGTAAATGCACGCTCGCAAAAAAGACATCAATTAAGCCGCATTTTTAACGGCAGGATAATTGCAATCCAGGGTTCTCATCCGGGTTAAGCGTCCAGGGCGGTAATCAGGAAATGGGCCCATCTCCACCAGTAATGGACCGGAGAACGACATCCGATAAATCAAGAACTTTATTTACGTCGGTCCGAACTGTACAACTTCCGAACAAGATTAAAACAACGTCTCATCGCGACGCGCTCCCCTAAGAAATTGTAGCCATAAATTACTGGTTAGCGGGTCGCGAGGTTCTTAAAGACTTTCAAAGGAAGCGGTCTTGGTTGCGGTGCCGGCCGACAACAATGCCCTCCGTTCCACAAAAAGACGTCTTCTCGCACAACACATTGTTTGCTCCCGTCCGGCCAGTTTCTCGCCCTTATTATCAAACGTAATTAAGATGATTTGTTACCGGAGCTTCGGATGCGACCAGGTGCCATTGTCTGCATTGCCTTCAACCCTTATTGTATTCGTGAACTCCCAGATCAACCTCTATATTCCTTAATCTTGAAATTACGTATTAAGTTTCTCATTTACACAAAACAACTAAAGTATAAATAACAGTGACGCCCGCCTGTTTAATAATATTTGTGGTCGTCTCGTTGTTCATCGTTCGATTAGGATCGAAACGCGCAATAAACCCGTCCAGCATTACAAGAGGCGTGTAATAATACGAAACCGGTAGTTGTGCTCGGATGGGAACTTGATTAGTGCGATATTATCGTTGAGCAGGACGTACGTAACAGATAATCAACGCCCTTAACGCAAATTACGCTCCCTTGTCTGCGAGTTATTGTACTGGACGACGAAGCCTGGTATACCTTGTTACAACCGAGTTACGTAAATATGGAACATTATTAACACTGCCCTTGTTGAATTAGTCTCTCTAGAGAACGTAGTTAACATCCCGTTAAACTTCGGAATTTAAACCTTTAAACAATAACTTGTGAATACCTTTAATCAGGCTTAAAATTAAAAAAAAAAGTTAATTTCATAAAAAGCATTTAAAGAATTTCCGATTGTAAAGTATTTCAAAAGTATTTGAAACGTAAGAGTTCAATCGGCATAATCGATCCGATTCGGCGACCGTCTCTTAATTCCACCGCGTAAGTACTTTCCCGTGTACGTCCATGCTGTGCAGAAATCGTAAAACCGCCAGAAGGAGTAATAAAGAGAGAGAAAGGGAATAAGAAAGAATTCGGCGTGCGCACAGACCGCCAAACTCAATTTCAATACGCGGCACGAAATTCCAAGATCCGCTCGAAGGAAACGCTGACTGTGTTCCCGATCAGATTATTACAACTGTGACCAGTCCCGCGAAATCCGGAACGGGAAATGTGCTCCTTTGGACCGATAAGGGAACGAAGAGAAGGTTCCATGTACTTTCCGCTTCTCTAGCAAGATTAAACACGCTCTTATCCTCATACGCAAAGTTAAATTCCAATTTAGAGAATGTTATTATAGTTATAATATAAACAAAACAATGTGTACAACAATATAACAGAGTTTCATAAAATATAGAGGAAAATATTTTTTTAAATATTTATTTTTAATTACTTTTATGCTTTATATTTTATTTTCATCAAAGGAGATAACATAAAATTTTTTTTATAAAACCATTTTAGAGAACTACGAAATTTACCTTAATTATAAAAATAACTGTCAGTTTTTTACTGTTTCGTTTTCACACAAATAAAAAAGTGTACTTGTTTTAATATCGTTTTAATTAATTTTTATGTATTTTTCGTGTCAAATTGAGTACGGTGGAAAGTATGTAATAACAACATAAAACTCTTCTTTTGTAAGAATTTAACATCCATTCACTTTCGAAGAATAATAATAATCTGCTCGAATAATAATCGAAGCTATGATAATCTGCATAAACTGTTTGTTAATAACATGTATAATGTTTCTGTGTACATAAAATAAGATCCACAAATCTGTCGCATTCCAAAATTAGATACTTTATTGTTAATTAGCTACTCAGGAAATAGAAAGCTTAACTTTTAGCTAACATCGTTGCACCTATTAATGGTGCATAATATATGTGCATAAAAATCATATTTTTTGTATGAGCTGGAACCACCTGTATAAACTACTTTGGGAAACTCTAGGTACTTGATGTTATTGATTATTGAAACTTTTGTAGCTAGATTACCTCCGCACTATCATGTTTATCCAAGTTGTCATATAAGTGTTCCTAAGGTCAAGATTTCAATTCTTTCTTATCCTAATAATTATCTCCATTTTGTCAAAGATTATTGCGCGTTATGTACTACTAAGTATTTAATTATCTTGAGAAACATCGTATAATCGATGACATACAATTTAGATTCCGCCCTGGCCACAGTACTACAACCGCACTTATCAAGGTTATTAATGACATTAAGTACGCTTGGGATAATCGACGTTTAATCTTGTTGGTTTTGCATGAGTGTAGTAAAGCATTTGATTAGGTCTATCATGATTTATAGCTCTCGTCTATTTGCTTCATAGGCTTTTATTCTTCTTCTTTGTAGGGGTTTCAAAACTACCTTTCTCATACCTTCTTATATAAACACACTAACTTAGACCTATCACTTAGCCACGAATTTCTTTATGCGATGCCTCAGAGAAGTATTTTGGAATCGTTGATTTTCTCTATTGTTATCAATAGTATCATGGACTTCCAACTTTTACCTCTAAGCGATAATCTCCAAAGTTCGACGGTCAACTTAGGTTAAAGGATCATTCACAGCCAAACATCTTTGTATTTGTATCAATTCGTATCAAGTCGATTATGCTTTATATGCGATTTCTCTTTGAAATGTACTTCGCCATGCTTCTTATCCTTCTTCACATCATCACTTGCTTTCTGTTTCCTCGTCAAGACCTTTACACTAAATTTATTAATAGTTTTTGTGTCACATTAAAAATGACGTATATACCATTTTACAGCCTTCTTAGCTGCATTCTTCAAATCTACGGTTGATTGCACCAGCTGAAGGTAATAATCGACACATAGAATTTGCTCTAATTTGCAAAAAATGTGTTGAGTTCTCCACATTTAACATGCAACAAGATCTGTTGTATATGACAGTGCGTAACCTACATGATTAAACATTACGTATTGCAGATATGCATATGTATCAAAAAATTTTAAACATAAATCGTTACTCATATTGATGCCTTCAAAACATTGTACTACTTCAGAAGTTGCTCTTACTGAAAAAGCAAAATATAGCACTTTTTTACCATCAGTAATATCAAGCTCAATTTGATGAATGTATTATCACAACGTAAAGGTTACATATAACTTCGGTGCGTCCTTTTAAAGCATGATTCATGCATCGTTTAAATGTTTAAAGAGCGTAATATACATAGATCAATAGAGAATACGATTAACTTCGAATAAGTTTAGTATGTGATGGAAACAGTTTATTCCTTATCGCTCTTTTCTACTATCATCTGAAAGTACTCGCTAGATCTAATCTAAAGTACTATAGTGTCACTAATATTAGAAATGTGTTATCTACTTTCCATTTTTTCATTTAGCCGAACGTAGTCGATTACCATTCATTGTTTCAGTTCTCCAAATGCATCCAGCTCCATCTTAACGAACAATATAAATAAAGCTCAAAGAAAATCATTGTCACGAGTAATGCTTTGTTTAATAAATCGTATGTCTAACAGTCGAGGTAAACGATAATAGAATTCTTCAAACCCATCAAATTCTTCCCGAAAACGATTTTAAAACTTCAATAGTTTTGCATTTGAACAAAGATTTTGAAAGGATTTCTATCAAAACGGGGGTGGTTGAAACTATTCTACCATTTCTTCGATTATATCATATTATATTGCACAAAACTGTATCGACAAAGAAAATAAAAAAACCAAAATCTCATATTGTATTGAGAAGCTCATTACTGCCCGCATAGACTCGAATAGATGGTTGATCACCGGAAAGAGCAAGATGAAGCAAACAGACGGATGTGTAAGCACATCGTTGTTTTCAGGTTTTCCTTTTCCTCCTAGTTCAATTTTTCTTCGCTGGTGCTACTTGGTAATGTATACCAATTAAGATTTCCTCTTTTCTTTCTCACATTGCTTTCAAATTTAGCGTGTTAAGACATCTCTTTAATATACTGTATTTTAATATTGGAAAACTATTGGAAATAGGTAGAATTAAACATAACATTTTTGCTTATCCAACAAAATAATAAACTTTTGATAATTTTCCACAACAAATTTACCAGAATGAGGGTAATTGGTTGAGAGTTAAACTGGCCGTTCTTCAATGTCAGTAACGGTGTCTAATAAACGCCCGCGCGAATTTTGACAGTTTGCGGTCGGCCACGATGGAAATGAATAATTGTTGGTGTACGCAAAGTTTGCATGCGGCCGGCGCTTTGGCCGACAGCCGCCCCGGAAATGCCCTGCATCACATCAGACGACCGACCAAGCGCCGGAAATGTTCTTGCGTTCGGAGGTTAAATTGTGCAACCTCGTCACCACAGTGTTTATTGTTCCACCCTATATCGCTATTTAATTAATCAAAGTCCTTATATATACATTAACCGAACAACATCAGTAACAATCGTATATGGTGATATTACGTTTTATAATATGTAATTGAAAACATATATCACATTAATCAAATTTATCTAACTGTTCGCGGTGATATGACAACATCTGACGAACTACGTCATCCCAGATATATGGAGGGCTATAAATTCTACCGATTTTTGCATAAAACTCGTATAATTTTATTAAAGCTTGGATGGATACGTCAAAGCAAAGTTAGGCAAATTTTATTTTAATCGGTTATTTCATATTTTTGATGATATTGACGTTGTTGAAAAAGTTTTTTTTTACTAATGTTTTTGTTTTTAGTTTTATTTCCAGTTGTAGTAGCAATCGCATATTCGGCTTTTGTATTTTAGGGATGCCAATTTGGAATTGAATAAATATTAAGCTTGTATGTGTTTACGGTTTTATAGAAAAATATCGGTTTATAAACTATATACGAGGCAAACTTGCCCATGTTTTAAAATGAGCTAGAAAAGTTCGTGGTAATAGGAATTTTATACCGATCATTAAAAATCCGCTCTGTCATCGTAAACCTTTGCTATTTATACGTATTAAAATTTTTTTCTAGATAGGTACGGTTAATTAGACGAACGCCGATCGATACACTCTTGAAATAGGTTGTAGTTGAATACTTCGTGTTTTGAAGTAATAAAACTCAATTTGAATAATGTTTTCTGAAGCCGTGTCATTTTGTATTCCATCTAGGTGAATAAATAAAAGTGGTTAAATATAAAATAAAATAAAATGGCACGTGTAAGAATAAAATTCTCTTTTCTTTTTGTTATGTCTGCTACGTTTGCAATATTCTAACAGCCTTGATATTTCAGGTGGCGTAGACTCGTATTTAGAAGACGGAATCCTGAATAGCAATGTCAGCATTCATCCCTATTTCGAATTTAATGTTCCACGAAATGTCACCACCGCTGTGGGTCAGACGGCCTTCCTTCACTGCAGGGTAGAGCAACTTGGAGATAAAGCGGTAAGTGAACCAGACCTCAGGTGTCATTTTATGCAGCTTGACATCTTGTTACTCGAGCAAAGTACAAAAAACATTATAAATTGATTTGATAACATCACAGCTACAAAGGTCGTTTACACAGTTTCATCAACTTGATTGTTTAACTGTTTTTGTTTGATTTGTTATTAGAACGTCATAATTTGGGTTGTCACAAACAGTTTGAAACGTGATCGCGATACAATAACCAAAAAAAACTTTCTATATAGTTTCAATTTACTAAGAAATTAAAATTTTTTGGATGATTAGTTACCTCAATGGAAATATACAGCAACACAATTTTTTTAATGAAACTCCGTTAAAAAAAAAAATAAATAACCAATCCCAGTTTTTCAAACACCCGTTGAGAGTAAACAAAAACAAGCTCGAACGTAATTTACTTTGGCACTGCGCACACCCGTTTCTGCTAGCTACTTTTTTTTTTGTTAAAACGCGAACAACCACGTTGCGCTAAAAGAGGCGTTCCTACGAATACATGAAACGGCGACAAGCCGTGTGAGGGTGCGGAACCGGAAGTGAGGAAAATTTAATTTTAGCATCGTACAGAAATTCAAACGCGAACTAACCGACGACAGCGTTGCTACGCCCGCCCGACACGCCAATGAATGAATTTGAAATTTAATATTTCACCCTTCGTTGCACTTAGTACCGCCGACGAAGGTCTATTTAAAAAAAAATACAAACGATAGCAAGAATTCCAATGATCTTTCATTCCAACCGGTGTGATGTTTCCTCCAGGGAGCCTAAATTATGTAATGTTTCATTAATAATTGAGTACAGCCGTGATAGAAAATTAAAGCGACTTTGGACGATGAAAGTTAAGTTTTAACTTTAGAAAATGGTTTCCCTTCAATAACATCATTATTGAATAATCGTTCACAAAATTATTAAAAGAATTTATATTAAAATTAATTACCTAAAATATGCCACAATCAAAAGTTTAACATCATAAAATATATATATATATATATCTTTAGCTCTTTTCCTTTCTTACGTAGAAACTGATTTATACTGAAAAGTGTCGTGCAGAAGACAAACGCAGAAACACCCCTCTTTAAAAATGAAAGTACTTGAATTATACTGGCTTTCGCTGATGACATAGATATAATGGGAAATAAAATCGATTTCAAGGAAGAGTTCATTAAACTGGTGCGAATCAACGCAGACCACTTCTGATAACAACGCAAGAGATTGATAGGAGAATACAAGGAGGTATTCGCTGCTGGTTTGCGCTACAAATGGTAATGAAATCGAAAAATATATCCCACTACACGAAGATAAGATTATATCATTCAGTTATAAGACCCATAATAATGTAACCATGTGAAACATGAAGGATGATGACACAAAATGTGTACTGACTAAAAATTGCAGGAAGAAGAATTCTTAGACGGAGATATAAACCAATCAAGGACAATATCACACAGCAGTATAGAATAAGGACTAATAGAGAATTGGAAAAACTGTGTAACTAGCTAGATATAATAGAAGTAATAGCCAGAAAGACTGAGATGGGCCGACCATGTTAGAAGACTAGACAAACGTGCCGTCAAGTTGGTATGAAGAGAGTCCCCAAAGCTGCTGCTGGGTTGACCGAGGATGTGGTGGAGAGCTAATATTGCAGTGGATCTAGGGATTCTAAATATCGAATAACCAGAGGGAATAATGTTGGACCACAACAAAATCTAAACGCAGTGAAGAAGGGGTATAAAGCTACGAAGAGAGAGAGAGAGAGAAATTAAAATCGAATATTATTAGACATCTAGTAAGTCTGAGTATAAAACTTTAAAGACCCTAACATTAAAGTCAGTCCCCTTGTCCCGGTAAGCATCCTTCCGCGTTCTATGTATGATATACTCTATGACTTTGTTGTGGAAGTTTGTTTCAGAATTTTGTTTTCTTTTATTCCCAAATGTGTATTTGTGTTGATATTTATGTTTGTTGATATTCTATGCACATAAGGTTATTAACATCTCTCCATTATTATTGATAACGTCGTCTTTAAATTGTTGCATTAGACCTGGGACAGGATTTCCAATCTTTATTGAGTTTTAATTTTTTGGCTGATCTGTCCACTTTGTCTTGTAATTCTTCAAAGTTTTCTTATATACAAACCCTCCTCCTTTATTTAAGGTTAAGACCGGCAGTAAGCTAATTGCTAATTACCGCAAGACATAAGCTAATTCAACAAGTCATAATGTCAATGATCGTGATTTGATCGATGATGATAACCATCACGATGATTTTAGGACTCAGGAACTTCTTCGTGTTTTGCGAAGTCTTACAAAACTTTTTAAAGTTAACGCCGACATCCCTGAACTTCTTTCTTGGCTCGCCTAATTACGGCTTTGTACTTTGCTAGCATTTCGATTTTGTAATATAGCTTAGAACTTACTAAAAAATTAATGTGGTAGATATTTGGGGTAGCTTATTTAAAGTGTTATGTATTGATCAGTCATTGTTTTCATAATTCTTTTGTGGATCATTCAGAACGTTGCGTTGCCTTTGTTTCGTTTTCAGCAGGTCTTCTCTTAATCTTTGCTGGTCTCTTTTATCTGTTGTATCTTTCTTCTAATCCTGTCTTTTTATGCTATGAGACTAATTGGTCGATGAGCATACGGATTCGAAGTGACTTCTTTTATCCATTATTTAATTTCTATAAAATTTATTTACAATTTTAAAAAAAGTTATAAATGAAAGTTCTAAATCTCTTTGATATAAACCTGATAAAGATAGATTTAACCAGTTCGTATTTTCTAAAATCCAGCTTTTATTGATAAAAAATTATCTTGTCAAGTAAGGTCACATTGATAGATTTTATACTTTACGTTCGTAAAGTATACAAAGGAGAATTTGATAAGTAATATTAATCTTTCGGCTGGTTCCAGAGGCGAAATTCTCGATTTTTTTCTCGTTGCCATCCTTACATTTTTTTTGACAGACAAGCCAAGGGTCGTGTTGCGTTCCGGGCCTCAAAAATTAAATTGAACTTGGAGGGCGTCGGCAACTTTGAAATCTTTTATACGTCATTTAACGGGTGCGCCGTGCGGTCGCTATTTCCGAAGAATGAGATTCTTTCAAAAATTGTATTCCGTCGTCTCCGGAAATTTGCGATTATTGTTCAGGCGAAAAAACAAGTTTTGATGAAAGAAAAATAAGGAAAATTAAAAAGAAATTGTTATAAAATCCGTATTAGTCGTGAAGAAGAATCTAAAATTGCGCATGTTTGTTAAGGATTATTGTTATAGGGGTGTTCGGGTACTCTTTTCTCGTTGGCTAAAATGAAAAGATCAAGCTAATCTTGTTAGAAATGAAAGAAATTGGATGAAAGCTACTTTCGTTCTGTTTCTATATCCATTAATTTAGAGATGTATTGATATTTGATTGGATCTTTTCTGTATCATAACTTTTTCTATAAATAATTTGATATATTCGCTAAAAGTTTTTGTAGAATATAATCGGAAGTCGATCCTGTTACATCATCATGTTTCATGTTTATATGGATCAATTGATTGTGTTACTTTTATCCTGTTACGGTGAACCTTAATCGTGACAGCGAACAATCCCCAAGAGAAAATTCTATTTTATACTTTATCTACTGAAATTACCAAGAGCCTATTATAGGATTTTGACGATAATCCGGCTATCGGCACTATTTTTATGAGTTGGGGATTAAGACCGAGTCTTTGGATAGGAAGGAAAAGAAAGCAGAACAAATTGGTTCTATTTATGCATTCGACAGGATAAGAAATTCTCCATTCTTATGATAAATGTGACGTCTAGCGTCGCGAGGCGTGCAGATGGAAGGAAGCCCGGAATTGATGGTGGAACTTAGCACTGTAATTTATAAAAAATACGGAAGGAAACGTTCACCGCCTTGTCATGACTGAATCCATGAAAACGTGAGGGTTATATCGCTACTATTTATCGAATAAATGTTTTTCTTTCCTTCTCCTTCTTTTAAAATAATTATTTCTTCACAAAGAAATGTTTATCTGTGTAAGCAGACACTGTAAATAACGTTGGCCTACATTCAGACAATGACGTAAAAGAAATTTATTACGTCCAACCTCAATTTGAATACAGATTCAAATAAACAATGTGAGATACGTGTGCACACCACGCTAGAATTTTTATTGTCGCCGTCCATGGGTTAAATCGACCGCAAACCTTCCCCTTTTTAATATTACGACAATTTTCCTAGACGAAAATTGGAGCTTTAAAATTCGACGAACGACTGCAAAGAGGACCGACGCCTGACGCGTCCTTAATCAAGTAAATTACCCTTACTGGTTACATGCAGGACGCTCGTCATAATTTAATTTTGCACGAATGAAATTAAAACTTTTAATTGTAAGAGTATATATTCGAAACACGCAATCGTAAGGACGCGACGAGGGGCGAGAAGTTTCTTCGTTGATGAATATGCAAAGGGTATATGAAGGCGAACAAGTCCGAAGTTAGGACCAAAGCTCGTGACACCTTAATGGCTTACGTAGCTCTATTTGGTATTTCGGAATACTTAAGGAGGTTATGTTCGAGAGTTTGTGAGCTAATTCCTTATTTACGGCTAATAATATATGCCAAGGTTAAGAAATAAAATAGGATAGAAGTAAAAGTGATCGGGGTTCGTTTCACGATTGTGAAGCGTAAATTTCGCGAAATGTCACAAATCCGGAAGCGGCTATTCGAGATAACAAAATTTTAATCGAGAGACCCGGAGCCGTCCTGTCGCAAAAAAAGGGGCCAAAGGTGTCGTTGGCGGTCGGAGCAGGTCGTAAAAGCTGATATTACAGATACCTTTAGTATTGTTTTTAGTGTTCCGACGTCGGGGACGAAACCCGTAGTCGTAAAGTGTCGTGCCGAACGGCACCCGACTTGTTCGGCGTTCAGTTATGGTTGATATTTACGATAAATATAAAACCTGGGCCTGAGGCTTCGGAGAACTCTCCTGCATAATCCCG